AAAAAGCTAACAAAAGAAAAGAAATAACTAAGATCAGAAGTGAATTACATTAAGACTCAAAAATCCATACAAAAGATCAATGGAAAGAAGAATAGGTTTATCAGAAGAATAAAAAAGATTGACAGGCTTTTCATTAGATTAACAAAGGAGAAAAAGGGAAGATCCAAATAAGCACAAACAGAAATGACGAAGATGACATTACAACTGATCCCACAGAGATACAAAAGATCCTCAGAGACTATCATGAACATCTCTATGAACACAAATTAGAAATCTAAAGGAAATAAATTCTCCAAAGACTGAACCAGGAAGAAAGTGAAAACCTGAACAGACAATAACAACTTCCAAATTTGAGTCAGTAATTAAAAACTTACCACCAACAACAAAAAAAAAGCCATGGACTAGAAGGATTCACAGCTAAATTCTACCACACATACAAATAAGAACTGGCACCAATCCTACCAAAAATATTCCCCCAAAAAATTGAGGAGGAGGGACTCCCCCTGCTCCCTAACTCATTCTACAAGATCAGAATTATCGTGACACAAAATCTGGCAAAGAAACAACAAAAAAGAAAACTTGAGGTCAATATCCCAAATGAACACAAACATAAAACCCGAAAAAAAAAAAAATAGCGAAATGAATCCAGCAGCACATTAAAAAGTTAATTCACCATGATCGAGTAGGCTTTATTCCTGGATGCAGGGTTGGTTCAACATATGCACATCAATAAATGTGATTCACCACATACACAGAATCAAAAACAAAAAGCATATGATCATCTCAATAGACACAGAAAAAGCTTTCTACAAAATCCAACATCTATTTATGATAAAAACCCTCAATAACAAGGCTTCGAAGGAACATACCTCACAATAATAAGAGCTATCGATGACAAACCCACAGTCAACATCATACTGAACAGGTAAAAGCTGGAGTCATTATCCTTGAGAACTAGCATGAGACAAGGCTGCCCACTCTCAACACTCCTATTCAACATAGTACTGAAAGTGCTAGTCAGAATAATCAGACAAAAGAAAGAAATAAAATACATTCAAATAGGAAAGGAAGTCAGTCACATTATCTCTCTTCACTGATGATATGATTCCATACCTAGAAAACACTAAAGATGCTGCCAAAAGGCTCCTGGAACTGATAAATAACTTAAGTTTCAGGATACAAAATCAATATACAAAAATCAATAGCACTTCTATACCCCAAAAACATTCTACCTGAGAGCCAAATCAAGAACACACACCAATTTCCAACAGCAAAAACCTATGCATACATCTAACCAAAGAGGTGAAAGATCTCTACAAGAACTACAAAACACTGCTGAAATAAATGAAAGATAAGACAAATAAACAAAAATATATTCCATGCCCACGAACTGGAAGAATCAATATTGTTAAAATGGCTATACTGGCCAAAGCAATTTATAAATTCAATGCTATTTCTGTCAAACTACCAACATCATTTTTTGCAAAATTAGAAAAACCTATTCTAATATTCACATGGAACAAAGGCAGAACCCAAATCACCAAAGCAATACTAAGCAAAAAGAACATTACCTGATTTCAAACTATACTATAAGGCTACAGTAACCAAAATAGCATGGGACTGGTACAAAAACAGACACATAGACCAATGGAACAGAAGAAAGAACCCAGAAATAAAGCCGTACACCCAGAACCATCTGATTTTCAACAAAGTCAACAAAAGGAAGCAGTGAGGAAAGGACTCCCTGTTCAAAAGAAGAATGAAGCTAGTCTCTACCTTTCACCATATACAAAAATTAACTCAAGATGGATTAAAGATGTAAATATAAGACCTCAAACTACAAAAATCCTACAAGAAAACCTAGGAAATGCACTTCTTGACATCAGGTTTGGCAAAGAACTTATGACTAAGTCCCCAAAAGCAATTACAACAAAAATGAAAATTGACAAATGGGACCTAATTAAAGAGCTCTGCACAGCAAAATAAATTATCAACAGTAAACAGCCTAGAGAATGGGAGAAAATATTCACAAACTATGCATCCAACAAAGGTCTAATATCCAGAATCTATAAGAAATTTAAACGAATCAAAAAATTTTTTTAACCAAATTTTTTTTGGTTAAAAAGAAACTCGTTTAAAAAATGGGGCCGGGAGCGGTGGCTCACACCTGTAATCCTAGCACTCTGGGAGGCCGAGGCAGGCAGATCATGAGGTCAGGAGATCGAGACCATCCTGGCTAACACGGTGAAACCCCGTCTCTACTAAAAATACAAAAACTTAGCTGGGTGTAGTGGCGGGCGCTGTAGTCTGAGCTACTCGGGAGGCTAAGGCAGGAGAATGGCGTGAACCCGGGAGGTGGAGCTTGCAGTGAGCAGAGATCGTGCCATTGCACTCCAGCCTGGGCGACAAAGCGAGACTCCGTCTCAAAAAAAAAAAAAATCGGCAAAGGATATAAATAGACACTTATCAAAGAAGGCATTACAAGTGGCCAAGGAACAAATGAAAAAATGTTCATCATCACTAATCATCAGAGACACACAAATCAAAACTACAATATACCATCTTACACCAGTCAGAATGGTGATTATTAAAAAGGTAAAAAATAATAAATGCTGACAAGTCTGGGGAGAAAAGAGAACACATACACACTCTTGGTGGGAATGCAAGTTAGTTCAGCCACTGTGGAAAGCAGTTGAGAGATTTCTCAAAAACTTATAACAGGACTACTGTTTGACCCAGCCATCCCATTACTGGGTATATACCCAAAGGCAAATAAATAATCCTACAAAAAAGACATATGCACTCATATGTTCATTGCATCACTATTCACAATTGCAAAGATATAGAATCAACCTAAGTGCCCATCAATAGGAGAGTCGATAAAGCAAACGTGGCACATATACACCATGGAATACTACGCAGCCATAAAAAGACTGAAATGTGTCCTTTGCAGCAACATGGATGTAGCTGGAGGCCATTATCCTAATTAACACAGGAACAGAAAACCAAATATCATATGTTTTCACTTATAAGCGTGACCTAAATAATGGAATACATATGGACAGAAAGATGAGAACAATAGACACTTAGAGATGTCTAAAGAAGGGAGAGGGGAGGGAAGGGAAAATGGGCTGAAGACCTACCTATCAGGTATTATGCTCAGTACCTGTGTGACAGGATCATCTATATTCCAAACCTCAGCATCATGCAATATACCCAGGTAACAAATTTTCTCAGGTACCCCCAAATCTGAAATAAGAAATTATTTTTAAAATATATATATAGGCTTAAAACTAAAGAATAAATCATTTTAAATCAGAGATATGCATGTCTGAGTATATATACAGTTACATATTGGAATACTTTTCTAATGAAAAGAGTAAAATCTGTTTTTCCAAAATATCTTTTTAAAAAGAGGAACTTACAAGTTTATATTTTAATTATACTCAAATTATAGCCAGAAAAAATATTTCAGTCAGTGGATAGTGTTCCATAACCTAGTGTCTGCAAAGCAACTATTTTAATATTTCTAGTATTAAAATTTTAAAATTCAGTTAGGTTTATGGATATCTATTCACACCTGAATGCATACACATACATATGCATACAAATATCTGTATACATATTCTATATAGTATATTTTTCAATTTTTGTTAAGAGAATAACTTTGGAAAATAATCTTCAATTAGAGTAGAATAAAAAAACAAAAGCACTAAATGGCATATACATTCCTGCTGTAGATGTTTACAAATGCAGGTGCCAGTACCAGAGTTCCTACAAACCAATCATGATACTCCACCTATATTACTGCCTATACTTTGTAGCCCTACAAAGGACTCTATGACACATGAGGACTCTATGAGTCAGAATTCCTCATGTATAAAATAGGATAAAATGCTACCTATAGTTCATGCAATGTTATGAGAATTAAATGAGCTAATCCAATTAAAGTGCTTACTCTGATAGGTTAATACTAAAAACAAGTGTTCATTCCCCAAGACCTAAATTAAGAGACATATTTTGTCATAGTGGACAATGTACATAAGGAAGTGCACATAAAGGACAGTGAAATATGTCTCAGATAATATTAACGTTAATCATAAGATGTATAATCAAACTGCTAGATGTGAAGAAGTATCAGTTTCCATCTTTATAATTTTTAGATTTGAGGAAATATGATTCCTTCATTACAACTACAACTGACCTATATCGAAATAGAATAAAAATTAAAAAATTTTGTTTGTTACAAAAATGACCTAATTTATCAAGTATTTATTTACCAAGATAAATATTTAAACATATCATTTGATAATATCTAAGACAAAACAGAAATATAGTTGCAAGGTACAATCAATATAAGATTTAAAATTCCATTCCCTTCATCATACAAAAATAGGAATTGTGTATAAAAAGCTACATAAAAACACTTAGCATAGCACTGTTCATAATCGAAAATTGGATATATCTATATATCTAATGTCCCACTGCTGAAGATCACTTATGATACAGGCATTCAGTGGAAAATTATATAACCATTTTAAATGACTTTGAACTAAAATTTTGGTGGCAAAGGAAAATGTTCATGAAGTTGAAAAAAGCAAGGAACAAAAGTGCTCCTACAGTATGATTCAAAGTTTATAAAACAGTATAAATGTGTGTGCATACACACACAAAATAAAAACCCTGAAAATGTATGTATCAAAATATTACTATTTCTGGATAGAGGGATTACAGGGATTTTAAAACTTTCTTCTTGTGTGTATTTCCCATATTCTTTTTTGTAATCTAAAAGTTAAAAGATTTCAAATTCCTGTTTTAGTTTTTACCCATATATAAATTTTGTAGCAGGAGGATTTCATAGACACTAAGACTCCAAATATGATCCCATGTTTAAGAATACAATTTTTTCGACGCTGGCATCCCCGGAGCCTGCGGCGGGTGGCTGTGATGACCCCAGCGCTGACGGCGGCTGGGGCATCACCGCGGGCCTCGACCCCGAAATGGCGCTGCCGGCTGAACACCTGCTGAAGCCGCTGCCCGCGGACAATCAGATCAAGACTAGGCATTTCCTCGAGGCGGTGTCACACCTGCCGCCCTTCTTCAATTACCTTGGGTCCCCAGTGTTTACTCCCATCAAGGCAGACATAAGCGGCAACATCACGAAAATCAAAGCCGTGTACGACACCAACCCAGTCAAGTTCTGGACGCTGCAGAACATCCTGGAGGTGGAGAAAGAAATGTATGGAGCAGAGTGGCCCAAAGTAGAGGCCACACTGGCGCTGATGTGGCTGAAAAGAGGCCTCCACTTCATCCAGGTCTTCCTCCACAGCACCTGTGACGGGGAGCGGGACGAGAACCACCCCAACCTCATCCGCGTCAACACCACCAAGGCCTACGAGATGGCCCTCAAGAAGTACCATGGCTGGATCATGCAGATCTTCCAGGCAGCACTGTACGCAGCCCCCTATAAGTCCGACATCCTGAAAGCGCTCTCCAAGGGGCAGAATGTGACAGAGGAGGAGTGCCTGGAGAAGATCCGCCTCTTCCTAGTCAACTACACGGCCACCATCGATGTCATCTATGAGATGTATACCCAGATGATGGCCGAGCTTAACTACAAGGTGCAGGTGTTCTCACCGCTGGACACGCCCCTGACTCGTGGCCACACGAAGAAACAGGCAAACCAGAATCACTGTGAATCAAGTCTGTGAGCTGCCCCTGGCTTGCGTCCCCGAGTCCTGCCAGAGTCTGCAGGGGACAGCCCTCGTTTTTTAAGTCTTTTTTTTTTTTTTTTTGGCTTTTTCTAAAGGACTTTTTAAAAATACTATTAATTAAAATTTTATTTCCAAATCTTGGAATTTCACGACAGCACAGACTGACTTTATAGCTTCATTTCAGCGTGGCAAAAATCGATTAACACTTCTAATGAGTCAAGTCCCAGGGATTTTTGGTTTTGTTTTGTCGCCAAGGAGGAACACAGCTCTGGGGGAATGGTGTCATCCACCTCATTTTAAAAATAAGCACATGATGGCCGGACACCGTGGCTCACGCCTGTAATCCCAGCACTTTGGTGGAAGCCAAGGTGGGCGGATCACCTGAGGTCAGGAGTTTGAGACCAACCTGGCCAACATGGTGAAACCCCAACTCTACTAAAAATATAAAAAATTAGTCAGGCGTGGTGGTGCACGCCTGTAGTTCCAGCTACTCAGGAGGCTGAGGCAGGAGAATCGCTTGAACCTGGGAGGTGGAGGTTGCAGTGAGCTGAGATCGCACCATTGCACTCCAGCCTGGGCAACAAGAGAGACTCATCTCAAAAAAAAAAGGAGGGGGGAGAGGTGGGTGGACCAATTGAGGTCAGAGTTTGAGACCAGTCTGACCAACATGGTGAAGTCTCTACTAAAAATATAAATTAGCCAGGCACGGTAGCACAAGCCTGTAATCCCATCTTCTTGGGAGGCTGAGGCAGGAGAATCGCTAGAACCCTTAGGTGGAGGTTACAGTAGCCAAGATGGCACCACTGCATTCCAGTCTGGGCAACAAGAGCGAAACTCTATCTCAAAAAAAAAAAAAGAAAAAAAAAAAAGCATGTGACCTTATGAGGCTCTCGCTGTATTGCTATTTTGGTTATTTTAAGGGCTACAAAGAGTTTGATTTGAAATTATGCAGGGCCTCTATGTGGGATTTTTTTTTTTTTTTTTTTTTTTAAAGCAAACTGGTGTGTATTCTCATGTGGTCTGCATAGTCCAGTCTCATAACACTATTGTAAACCCTGCTCTTTCTATCTTGCTAGACAGGTTTTTTTGTTTGTTTTCTTTTTTGTGTTTTTTGTTGTTGTTGTTGTTGTTTTACAGCTGAAACCAACCAGCAAGCCCTTGATGACCAAGAGGCATTTCTTTCAAAGCTGTAGGGCACAAACAATTGACCATAGATGACTCTGTCTGCATTCTTCTGCAGAATTATTTCCTTCAGGGACAGATTTTTCAACCTAAGAAACTACCTACTGTTTATATTCTCTTGACGGGGAGAGATGAACCCTTCAGCCGCTAAGATTCAAGAAAACGCCTCACTGCCTTAACCTTAACTGTTCTTCCTGGAGCTAAAAAAAAGCTGTATTTTTTAAAGTGCTGGGGCAAACAAAGCAACCCCAAAAGAACTGATGTGTGTTTTAAAAGAAAAAACCCAATAAGGAACAACTGGTGATTTTTATGCATAAACTAAATAACCCTTAATAAATAAATCTCTATTTTGGAATTTAAAAAAAATACAATTTTTTCAATATTTTTTTAAAAATACATTCTCAATGACACCTATTTTAGCCTTGTAAGCTTGATATGTTTAACAGAGAGAACTAAAATTGAACACTGGATCAATTTCTTCTTGGGAGAGGAGGGGAACTAGACCAAGAGCAAATATTGATAATATTGAAATATATGAATTAATCTGTAACTCATTTCAAAATGTTCAATAACTCTTGGCACAGAGATGACTTTTTATTGGCTTTTTATTGAACGCTATGTGATTCTTAGCACAGTCATCTTCCACCCCCCTCCTTAATATATATGAATCCAAGAAGCTTGCAAGTCATATTAAAATATTCTTTCTTTAGTTTGGCAGAAATTTGTACTTTTGACCTTGAATTTTCTCTACTACCTAATCAAAGAGTTTTATCATAAACAAACATTTACTACTGCAGGCATTAAAATGGAATAGGACTTAATAACTAGTGAAATTCCTTCCTAACTTCAGGTTTTATGAAGATCTAAGTAACTGATGAAAAATTGAATCCTTTAACATGAAAAAACAAAAGTCATATTCACATTTCAAGTTATATGTGTCAAAGCACTGGTGCTGAAACAGAATAGGTTATCTTCTAATTTCACATCACTGAGTTATTCACTGCAATAATGAGGAAACATATTATTGAGAAAGTTATACTGGAAAATTACCTAACATTCTCTGACAAGAAAAAAAAAACTAACAATAAAAAGAAAAGCAGCCAAATGGGATGAAAAAATTATGAATTAGTATGGTGGTTTCTCATTACAAAGCTAAATATAGGGACAGATTTTTTCCACTTTGATCACTCTCACACGGTTGCACTGAAAATAAAGAAAACAATAATACATAGAATGCAAGAACACTGATCAACACAACCTACAATATTTACACAGAAATTATTAGTCACAAAGGGTTTTGGAGTATTCATTTAGTTAAGCAGTAACATTTCCTGAGGGCTTTCTATGTGATAGGAACTTTGCTGGTTATCAGAAATGCAAAAAATGAAAAGCCACAATTCTTGCCCTCAACAAGATCATACACAGGGAGGTTTACACATCTACCACCTGTGATAAATCAGCCCAATTACATGGGCACCAAATCTGAAATGATAATCACTACGTTGCCTAGTAAAGTTAGATTATTTGGTTTAAAAATTCCCTGTTAATTTTTTGGTTTTACAATGCAGTTAAGATGTATGATTAATGAGATGCATTGAAAAACAAGATGAGTATACTACAAAAGTATTGTATATGGGGTAAATCTTTGTATTTCAGCAATTTTTAATATTTACTTCAATTTTTCACTCTCCCACAAAACACCCACTACTTGGAGTCCTATTGCACAAATGTCAATCTATTGTTGGTTTTTCTTATTCCATAATAAGAAATTCATACATTTACATTAAAACACTACCTTGTTCATCTTTAAGACTTCCAATTAATGGTGCTATGCTTTAGTTCCCAGTATTACAAAGGCAGAATAGATTTTTAAATAGTACTGGAAAAAACGGTCACATGAATGAGTGAGTATATGAATCCTGAAAACTGAAAACTAAAGAGGTTGCCACTTCACCACCACTTTCCTATTCCAAAAAGACTAGAATCATTGAAGGTATTTGATGTAAGAAATGAGTACCTTCTGAAATAGTTCATCTCCTACATCCTCATAAGCCAACTTGATGAAATCTTACTGATTCTAAAAGCCTCCATTTAGAAACCATCACCTAACGTCCTTCCGTGGTCTCCAAAATAATCTTCCCTCTGAATATCCATTACATCTGGGTGGCACTACCCTTATGCTACTTATCTCAAACTACTTTAAATTTAGTTATTTGAGCAAAACACCTTTAACCCTTTTAGATGGAAATAGTTCCTAAGGGCAAACAACATGTCTTGGTATCAGTTACACTACTTTAGTGTTGTCCTCAAACACTCATTGACTGTGTAACACTGTGCAAGGAACTTAACCTCTTTATTGTATAGTATGTGTTATAATACCTACCTCACAGCATTGCTGTGACCAATAAATGAACACATATTAAATACACAGAAATACAATCAATCCTCATCCACAGATTCCACATTTGTGAATTTGCCTACTCAATAAAATTTATGTGTAATCCAACATCAATATTCGTAGCACTCTGGCAATAATTTGTGGAAATGTGCAGAGGGGGAGAATTTTGAGTCACCTGATTTGTATCCTGTCAGCTGAAACTGAACAAAGTAATTCTCTGCTTTGTTTCTGCTCCCATACTATAAAGGAGTATTCTTTTCACAGTCTATTAAGTGCAACAATGTTCTCATTTTTGTGCTTTTTCTTGATGATTTGGCTATTTAGAATGCCCAAGTGCTGTCTAGTGTTCCTAAGCACAAGATGCCTGTGATAGACCTTAGGGAGAAAATATGTGTGTTACAAAAGCTTCCTTCAGGCATGAGTCATACTGCTGTGGGACATGAGTTCAATATTAATGAATCAACAATATATATATTAAATAAGGTGTCTTTAAATAGAAACACACATTTTAGTGATGTATTGATATGTGGACAAAAATATTGTGACCGGAGGCTTATAGGAACCTAACATTGTAATTCCAGTAAGAGCTAATTTATTATTCACTGCTACTTCACAAAACAAATCTACTTCAAGTAGTGAGAATCAACTGTACTTAGAGTACTGACAAATTCATAGTAAGCTAAGGAACTATTAACTACCATCACAGTTGTATTGTTAATAGCACATGGTAGGTACTTGAACATCTGTTAAAACAGTGCCTGACTAAAATAAAAATAAGGACTAGATTTTAAAAAGGAAGAAAATTTCCAAATTATTTTTATATGACAGTTACATAACGTTGGCCCCAAACCTTCACAAAACTGCACAGAAAACTGCACAAATAAAACACACTAAAGAATAACAATGCAAAAACTTTAAATGAGATAATATGCAAAAGAATCCAAAACACTAAAAAAAATTTAAAAGAGGGGTACATTCCAGAAGTTCAAAGGTTTTTAATATTACAGATGCATTAATAAAATCCATTATATTAATGGAAGATTATATGTTTATTTTCATAACTGCTGAAAACTCAAGTGACATAATTCAACATCATTCATAATTACCTAATTACATAATTAAAATAAAAAATTTAAAGTTTACATAGAAATTAAGAGGTATTTGTTAGCCTGAATACATATAGATATAAAGATATACACATGTGTCTGTACTTGCCCAATTAGCCAGCAACTTACTTAACTGGAAATGTTAGATACTTTCTCATTAAAATAAGGAATAAGACAAGGATGTCCACTATCTCTTCTATTATTTAATATCTTTTGGTGTTATTAAACAACACAATTAGAGAAGAGAAAACATTAGAGGCCAAAATTGGAAGAAAAAGGAGGAAAGCAATCTTTATTTGCAAACAATATAATTTTTCTATCAGGAAGCCAAAAACAACCAATAAAAACCCTAAAATAATTCACAAAAGAAATATAAGCAATATGTAAAATAAATAAGCAGACAAATTATTGTTTTCTCCTCCAACCACCCAAAAAAACCTACTTAGTTAAAGTAATTGAGAAGACTCTATGACTATAATGAGAAGTAAAATAAAATACCTAGGCCTGTATCTAGAAAAAAAAAAAATGCAAAAAACAAAATGTAAAATCAGAGAACAGAGGTAAAAGGATAATAAAAGAAGACGATATTCAAAAAAGGGTAAGACCAAAGTGGTGAATAAAATCCATCAAAATCTTTATCTTAAATTGGAAAGAGAATAAATTTGGGATTCACGTTTTTATCTCCAAAAATGTGTATTAGCTACTCTTAACCATGGAAAAAGCTTAAAAACAATAAAACAGTAGTAATGAACACTCCTACCAGATTATGCTCCATTAATACTATTTTTTAATAAAAAGTTTCTTTCAAGTATGAAAAAAATGCATAAAATTTGTCTAGGATATATTATTACTGAAAGTAAAAAAATTACCAAGGATACGTTACTACTGAAAGTAAAGAAATTATCAAAGATCCATGACTCAAAAGCCTCTTAGGCACAATGTATAAAAAAATTGTACTAACGGCCTTCCCTCCCAAACTACGGCCTTCCCTCCCAAACTATCCCAGTGTTTAGCTAAAGACTGCATCAACTGCAAGGCTGAATTAAATGGCTACTGAATTTCTTTCCACTTCTTTTTTTCTCTTTTTTTGTTTTTGAGATGGAGTCTTGCTCTGTCGCCCAGGCTGGAGTGCAGTGGCACTGATCTCAGTTCACTGCAACCTCCACCTCCCGGGTTCAAGCGATTCTCCTGCCTCAGCCTCCTGAGTAGCTGGGATTACATGCATGCACCACCACGCCTGGCTAATTTTTGCATTTTTAGTAGATATGGGGTTTCACCATGTTGGTCAGGGTAGTCTCGAACTCCTGACCTCGTGATCAGCTTCGGCCTCCCAAAGTGCTGGGATTGCAGGTGGGAGCCACCGCGCCCGGCCTCTTTCTACTTCTTTATTTTGCTTTTCCATTTTTAGGGATAGAAGCGGAGGGGAAAGCAAGTGCATCTTTTGGTTAAGAGCACACATCTGAAGTAAGACCACTGGATTCACCAACTATATAACCATGGGCA